ATGAAGGAGATGTAAAATAATTTATTTATTTTTTTATATAAATTCAAAAGAAAAATAATTTAGGCTTGGGAAAAAGCAATTGAAGTTTGTAAAGAATTACAAATACAATATGAACAATCATTTGAATATGATAATCTTAGTTCATTATTCGTAAATAAAACATTGGTTTTTTTTGTCTATTAACTAATTCTATGAGATTTTTATTATTTAGTTAAATCAATCTCGACTTTATGTACATATAATGGATGCAAGTAAACAACGTTTTGAACAAGAATATTTTCGTATTGGTTGTTATGGAATGGGTTTTCATGATTTTCTTCAAGTAAAATGATTAATTTTTTTTAATATCATTAAACAAAAATAAATATTCTTTTGGTAATATAGAATCATGTTTTTGTTTATCGATCTGAATCAGGACAAAGATTAAGTGATGTTCGAGAAAAACTTCAAACAATATTTCCACATTCAATTCTTCTTGATCCAACTATTAATATTGAAGAATATCATCGTCGAAGTACTTCACAATGTAAAAATAATTTTCGAAACAAAAAAAAAAAATATATATATATATATATATACAGTGACTCATAAAGTTATTTTTTTCGCTGCTGGAAACACTCGGAAAATTTTAAATAGTAATTTGAGTAGAGAATTTCTGAATATAAAAATGATTGCTAGTTTTCTGAGGATAGAGTCTCTGAAAAACCAACTTTCTCAACTTCTAGAATTTGCAATCATAATTCTGCTTTAGTAATCTAGAATGATAGAGTAAACAGTTCTTTACGTAATGAAACATCTTCCAAATACCTTAGATTATTTTTCATTACAATGCATAAATCTATACGAAATAATAGATAAAAAGCAACTTTTGTGTAGCCCAGCAGAATAGTCTCGAATTCCATTTATGATGCCCTGAACTCTGTGATTTTTCTCGTGAAATCTTTTGTACATCATAAATCAATTTATTATTTTCTTGCTAATATTTTGTAATAGAGAAAAAAACACAACATGATAAATAAAGTATATAAATATTAAATATTAATGAATAAGCAAGTCACAATCATATACATGGTTATATAAACAAATAAATAATTTTATCATTATGAACATTAAAATATGTTTTCATCATTTTCTGATTGCTTTTTTTCATTGGACATTGCTTCATTGTCTATAGACAATCGTCCTTTTTTTGCGTTTGTGAATATCATTGTGATAAATCCTTTGATAACACACGTTTACTTAGAGTAACTGATGAAGAGATTGTCTCTTCTGATTTGACTCACAAAATTATTTAAAATAAACTAATTTTTTTTTTATTTAAAAAACATGATTTTATCTATTTTTTTCAGTAACGGTCTTACCTGAGTAGACATGTACGGAACTAGAAAACACTTGTCCCGACACATGTCTATTCGAGACTCGAAAAGAGTTGGTGTCGCATGACTCTACTCTTGTGCCTTCCGTAAGGTTTATGTATCTTGATCCATATACGTCCTAGAAAGCTAGAAGACATTCTATAGAAATAAAATTCTCTACTCAAGTCATTGTTCGAATTCTTCGTAGTGTTTACCGCAGTAGAAAAATATTGAAAATAAATCTGATTGAATGATTTTTTTGGAAGTCACTGTATATCTATGAATTTATTATTATTATTATTATTTTTTCTTTCGTAAAGATGTCCAAGTACAAGTTGTTCAACCTATATCTGATGAAAAAACAAGATTTGGAAATAGAAATATTCCAGAAGCTATCCTTCAGTAATTCAATACTAAAAAAAAAGATTTTTAAACAATTCTTTTCTCCTCTCATATTAAGATATTATCGTTCGAACGAAGTACGTCGATTTACTTATACACGTTTATTTGTACATGATGATGATCGAGAAGCTACATCAGACATTGCTGTAAGATTTATGTTAAGACAAAACAAACAATTAGTTTTGTGAATTTTTTATAGAAATATTCAGCAGAAAAATATGAATTTTCTACTGCACTTGCATTACCAAATACAACTCGATGGGTACCAGCAGGTCCATCAACAAAAGTGAATTATTATTATTATAATATGAAAAATATAGAATTTTTTCTTTTTATTTATTTAAATTTTAGACTATATTAACACCATTAGAAAATGCAATTCATTTACTTGAAAAAACAAATAGAGAATTAAAAATTCTTGTGGAAGCAAATGAAGCTGATCGTGAACTTAATGTGACACCATTATCTGGCAAAGTTAGACAAATAAAACAAAAGAAATTATTTATTGATCTATATATATATTTTTTTTTAGACAGCTGGAATTCTTGATGCAGCAGTTATGGGTGGTGCTAGTGTTATTGAACAAGTTAGTTTATGTTTATTTCATTCGAGAAATTTCATGTTTATATTTATAGGCATTTTTATCGAACGAATATCAAACAAAACATTCAGATGAATATACACGAACATTAATTGATAAAGTTAAACAATTACTTGCTGATCAAGTAGTTTTAATTAGATTTTTTTTTTATTGTTTAAGAACATATGTTTTGTTTTCATTTAATAGATTCCTTTACTTGAACGAGCATTAATTATAATGCGACAAAAGTCAAAACCAGAAATGTTACCACATGTCGATCACTTAAGTAGTCTTTTAATTCATCGACAACGTTCTGTTGAACATCATTGTGGTAAACAACAGGTATAGATTTTATTTTATCTATAAAAATAGATTTATTTAAATTAAAATAGGTACAAGGATTACGTTTAAGTATATTTGTGTAAGTGAATTGATTTTAATTTTAATTTTCTTTTTTTTTGAAATAGAAAAGATAAGATACAATCTTTTTAGACCATCAAGTGATCTTTCATCAAATACATCTGTTCATAGCCATCGTTCAAATACTGATATACAATTACGACAATCAGATTTAACAAGTTAATAAAATATTCAAATATGAAAAAAAGTTTTCTTTTTTTTTTTTGAATAGGAAGTCGAACATCATCAACAAATTCAACAAATACTATATTTAAACCAACAGCAACATCATCACCACAAAAAAATCCTATTGAATTAAGAGAAGAAGTATTGTGATTAAATAAATCAAAAAAAAGATCTTATTTCTCTTCTTATTATTATATATAGTTAATAAGTCTTCGACCACGTCGACCTCCACGTACAGTACCATCACTTAGTTCATCAGTTAGTTCTTTAGCTGGTGCATCAAATGATTCACCTCGTTCATCAACAGCTGAGATCAATATCAGTGGACAATTTGTCATTGGTAAAATCTCATATATAAAAATTTTAAAAAAAAACCCATCATACTTTTGATGTTTAGCTTCAGCAAGTCAAACCTTACTTTCATCAGAAAGTTTAAATGATGAATCAACGGATGAAATTCTACAATCAAAATCAAATAATAATACTAATAAAAATTCATTATCACCTTCTCATCAATTGGTTAATAAAATTCGTGCATTGACAAAATCATCTGAAGTAAAACAATAATATTCGAATTATCTCTAAGATATTCATTTTATTTACTTACTTTTAGCAATTATCAAACGATATACCACCACGTCCACCACCAAAACCGCCCAAACTTCTTCGTTAAAAATTTATTATTCTATTCTAGTCAGATATTCTTGTAAAATATAATCTTATCTTTCTTTTTCTTTTTTTTTTTATTATTATTCTCTATTCAATAGATCCAAAGTTATTTATGTATTTATTTATTTCATATGTAGTCTACGATCATTCTATATTTATTTGTACTAAGTGATACTTTTTTTTTGCTCTCATAAAACTTATGTTTTCATCTATTGAAATAATTTTTTTTTTAGACTTTCATTTCTGATATTGAAAGAATATAACTTAAGATCATATACTAAAAATGATCATGTCCTTTAATCATCGTTCATATAACTATTGAAGATTTTAGAAGTTTTGACAATCGATATTTTTTGTGAAAAGGATGATTGGAAAATAAAACTAGTTATTATAGCTTAGGTCTATTTTGTTTTTTGTATTAAATAGAGAAGTTTTTTAGAAATAGTATCATCGATATAATTTGCCAGCATCGTGTAACGAGGGAACATACACAACTGTCGGACGTCGTTCAAACTTATATTTTAGCTACTAGTAAAAGATTTAAGAAGATGGGATTTTTTAGTTTCTCTTCGATTTTTTTTCTTTATTTCAGGAAGTTGAGATCTGCAATTGTTAACATAGAATTTTCATTTAATATATGAGGCAGAGTCATATCTATTACAGACAATTCGTTCAATCTCGAGATAATGTTCATTTAAGTCTATCATGTAATATAAAAGTGAATGTAAATCTTTTCTTCTTCTTATTCAAAGTGACAGCAACGAAAAAAAAAACACAAAATTTAATGGATCGACTACTTCCTCTATGTTACTATTCTTCGATGTGTCATTGAGTATATCTCTATAATCAAATGAAACATCAATGTTCACTGTATTTGATGGACACGATATAGGATTTTGAATTGCAATGTAAACATGTTTGATAAACTCTGTCCCTTTAGAATGTTGAATAGATCGAAAAATCAGTTTTGTTAGAACTTCGAGTGACTGGAAGAGATGCAATTAAGATGGCAACGGTACTTTTTATAAAGATTTCAAAAAAATGTATATTGTATACAGTATCTATGGGAAAAGATCTATACCGCGAAAGTCTCATATTCAGTTTTGAACTTTTTCACAAAATTTACTGATAGTTGTTCAATCTTAACCTAGAAGGAAAGTTTGAACATATATTCAAAAATAGAGAAAAAATCTACTTCTGACTCTAAGAAGTTTCTTTTTTAAGTGGCTGAAAAATAAGTAAATATTTTGTGCCAAGACTTTCGTTCTATTTTGAGATTCGATGAAAAAAAAAAGAATGAAAAACATATGGACGTGCATTCCAACTGACATCTATGATTTAGTTGCTGATGGACGCGGTATATTCTACTATCTTAATTAAATATCAGTCATTACATCTTGTAGATAAACATGAATAATACAATTTCAATTTTTCAAAATATTGATGCTTTGATAACATCGAAAAGTTTATTTAATAAATCAATAGAAACACTCGGTTCAATAACATATCCTGATCAATCAATTTTTATTCAATTAAATGATCAATTATCTGAGTTAACAGTTAAAGATGATGAATTATTTACATCTAAAACTGATTATTTATCTTCATTATTACTCTTTCTTTTTGAACATATTCCACTTGAAATTGATCTTAATTTATTAACATCAACTCAAATTGATTATCATCAAGTTTTATCATCAACTATGAAAATTTATAAACCAAATCTTTTACCATCAAATCAAAATATAATTCAATATTCATCTGAATCACAAATGATTCTCAATCATCTATATAAATTTTTACAAATAAACAATTTAGAAGAATTTCTTCTTTTAAAACAACATACACAACCTATTTATCTTCATTGTCTTCATCATCTACAACCATTATTATTAAAGACGACATATGATAAATATCCTATTGCTATTAAATTATTTGTTCATATTATTAAATCAATGCATCAGTCATCACTATCTGAAACATTTGATTTAATATTTCCTGTTTGTTTAATGACATTAGATGATCCATCTATAGATATGAAATTAATAAGTCTTTATTTATTGGATCACTTACAAAGACATTGTACATCAACAGAATTATTATTATTTAATCGTGCAAATGTTATTATGTAAGATGCCGACAAGTCGGAATTTAATTAAAGTTTCACAATTGGAGAGAGCTTGTCGATTCACCTGACAGATTCAGACGACTGTTTTGTAGTGAAATTTAGGTTTAAAAAGAGATCAGAAAAACCTATAAAAATTGAACTACATCAAAAGCTTTAGCTCTCAATAGTCTCAACATTTATCCGAACTATTTTTTGACTTATTATGCATGCGGTTTGAAAAATAATGTTTGATTGCAAGATGTGATAAGTAAGGATTTATATTTTAAGATGTTGACACTCAGACCTTCACTTCCGAAAGAAACGAATCTCATAGTTAGAATCAGCATAAAAGTTTGTATTGAATAGTGTACTTAATACTCGAATTTAATTTGCGTCAAATTTCGTTTTGGTCTCGATCCTGACAACTTCTTATTGTTTATTTATTTATACGAGGATTAGTACCTGTTAGGAACATGTCTCTTGAATTATGTACTGATTCATATGATTTTTTAAGATAATTTACTTAAAACCATAAAATATTTTACTATAAACTTGAGTTTCAGTGCCGGCAATTTTTTTTTCTCATAGTTTCTTATATCTCTAGCACAGACCACAATTTGATGAAACTCAGATTCGAGTATTGGGTATACTATTGAATACAGGTTTTTGTGCTGACTCTAAATATGATATTCATTTCTTTTGGAACTGAAGTTCTGAGGGTCAATATCTTAGAATACAAGCCTAAATCTATGGCATTTTGCTGTCGTATCGAAAAAATCGATTTTCTCAACGATCAAACAATATTTGGATAAAATGTTGCGATTTGAAACTTTTGTTGTATTTTAATTTTTAAAGGATTTTTTTAATTTCTTTTTTAGCCTAGGTTTCAGTGCAAAAACATCGTCTGAATATGGCAAAAATAACACTTCTATAGGTGATTCGACAAATTCTATCCAACCATGACAGAAATATTTTCTCAAATTCCGAATTACCGGTACCTTAAATAAATATCTCCTTAAGCTTACTGCTTCTTTCCCACACCCCGTCAGAAATCACAATTTTGAAGTTTTGACGCGGTTGGATAATTTGCAAGGTCTAATACGATTTTCCTGATTTTTTGAAAGTTAAAGAAACAGTATTTTAAGATATTGGACTCTGTCAAGTTGTAGTGGCAAATCTTGGCTATATTTTTCTATTTTTTTATTTTTCATCTAGGTATGGTCTTGAACAAAATTTATATCATCGTGGTGATCGTATTATATTATTTGAATGTTTATTAGCAACAACATATCGTTGGTTAAATATTCTTGAAAATGAAATTTATTCTGGTAAACATTTATTTATACGTACAAGTCAACTTATTGAAAGATTTATTCATGACAGTTTATTAGAAACAAATATTGAATATCGTCGACAACTTATCAAAATACTTCAATATTATATAAATCGTCTTGAATTATTTGCTATTCGTCATTTAAAACATTTTATTGAACTTATTGATGATTCTATTGATAATCGTTTATTACGATCTGATTCATTAAAATTACTTTTAAAAATTATTGAAATACTTAAACCACGAATTAATGTTCATCGATATGATATTATGAAAATAATAATTCGTTGTTTATTTAAAATTATACATGAAGATAAAGAAAATAAAACAATAATGAATCTTTTTAAAAAATGTTTAAAAGAATTTCATTCATGTACGATAGAAGACAATTATGTTCAAGATGCTCTTCGATCATTGATTGAAACATCTCAATTAGATTTATTTTATCGAGAACATTTACAAAAACTTCTTGAAACTATTGAAGAAAATTAATGTTTTATTTTTTTTCATTTCAAACAGGATTCGAAGAATGAATCAAATTTTTTTGATTATGCATGTTTTATTTGTGACGCTCTAGAATGCTTATAAATGGAATGGAATATAAGAAAGGAGAATGGAAGAAAATATGATAACATAATATTGATCACATCATCATCAAAACATAATTGTAAAGCATAGACAAATAACGACTAAAAACTGAGTGTTCATCTTAGACTATAGAGGAAGAGAGAAAAATGGACACGGAAGGTTAAAGAAAAGGAGAGTTAAAAAAAAGGAAGATGAGTGTTTATTATAACATAAATTGTTGCCATCATTTATTTATTTATTTATTTTCAGCAAATTGTAACCCTAATCTTAACAAGGATTTATGTTTCTTTTTTCAATTCTTTCACCCGTCTGTGTTAGAAATGATGTCCTAATTCATCATTTTTTCTTTTCCTAAATTCACTCCAGAATGAAATATTGTTGAAAAAGAATGACGTTGAAACATCTCCTTTATAGAGTTTTTTAAGTATTTTTCTGATATATTGTTTAATATAATAATCTAAATCTTTTTTCGCCAGTAAAGGTATGCAGTTCCCAAGTTGCTAACCATGGGATCGGTGAATTAATCTTTTATCCGCTCTAAAATTTTATCGAAGCAGTTCGTATTAAGTGTGCGAGAGAAAAGAAAAAGGGCAGAAAAGCGTAGGAAAAAATGGAAACAAAAAAGCGAAAAAGCATTGTCTCAATACACTAGTAGAGATCACTCACTTGCATTTCAACCATTTCAGTTTTGTGTACGACCGTTGAACCTTTTCTAAACAATTTGTAACAGATTTACGCATAAGCAACTTAGTAGTACAAACGTCTTCAAGATATTTAAAGTTGCTCACACACTCAAGTCAGACATCATTCATTAATATTGTTCAGAAGCGTAGATTAATTTGTATATGAAATATATAGTAGACCGATTTGGAGACGTTGATCGGCTGTTTCCACTTCTTAGCATATTCAAAAACTTTAATACATTTAGGTTGTCAGCAAATCTATAAGTCGAAAAAGCTCCTGTAGAATGTCCAAGATCAAAATGGAATACTGTAAATAAATGTGGACTTCGGCTACTTTCTTAAGGTATTCTCATTGATATAGAAAACTCTTTAGTATTAACTTCACCATAGTAGGAATAGAACTTTTTCAAACATGATACTTATCATCGAGTATAAAATTGGATGTTTATTCTGAGATTAGCTGAAGTCAATTCGAGATTCATCTGACTATTTCAATCCAATTCAGTCTTAGAATGAACATGTATTATATATTATTTTATAAGAGAATGATCTCAATGAATGTGCGTCCAATGTCGACTGTCATATTTACTTAGATTTGGACACTGATAGTCTATAAGCTGATGCGAATGACTCATTCCATCATTTCTAAAACGATGATCTCATAAAAAATTCAGGATAGTTTATAAAATAGTAATATCATATCTTCATCGTGATCTTCATTATTTTTTCTAACATTTGGAGGTCATCAAATCACGTCATCTTTAGTCTGTGTAAGCAACAATGAAAAGTAAACCAAAGCCGTTGGTATAAGCAGTTTCAACCCATCATAAAATGCATAAAATGTAGCTCATATACTGTTCTATGAATTCTAAAAGTTTTTCACATTGACAGCAAAGCATTGCCGTTGTGGAACACAATCAGCATAGAACGCTATCTATCATATTTTCTGAAAATGACCACCAAAATTTTTAGTAGAAATTATTAGTGATATTATGCTGATTCTAAATATATATAAATCTCTTTATTTGCTTCATTTTATAAAAAATATTCACACAGTGCATTTAGAAATAACCAGCAAAAGGTAAGCGCAATCATTTCATCAGACAGTGGATCATGCAAGTGAATGTAGCTTATCTCAATCGCATTATTCAATAACCAAGCACAGAATTGAAACAATAAATATATAATGAATAATAATGAAACATTATGCTAATCAATTCTTCAATCTACCTGATGAAATAGTAGTAGTGGCGGAGCCAGGGGTGAGCTGAGCTCCTTCCCTCCCAGGAAAATTTTAAAACCATGTATTTTATTCAAAAACCGGGGCTCAGAGGTGCCTTAGAAGGGGCTGAGTCCCCCCCCCCACTCTCTCTCAGCTCAAAATCCTGACTCCGCCACTAAATATTACTCATTATATTGAAGAAATAAAATGCGATTGATGCTTTCAACTTATATGGTATAAATGAACGATTAAATAATATATTGCATGATAAAATTTTTACAAGCAAATTAACATTATTCGATTGGTCATCAAATGAACTTATCCCATGTGATAAAAATCGGATGAAAACCGGTGGCTAACCGCGGTTTTACCAGCCCGGTTACCGGCTCCCGTCACTAAGATTTACCGCGGTTTACCGCTAAAATGAGCCGGTTTACCAGATCGCCGATAAACTTTGACATTTCATTGCTTTAAATCATCGATTTGGCTATTTTAAACGTTTTTTTCTTCTATCTTTCCATGTCATAAAAATGCTCAGAAAAATCTCCGGTTTACCGCGGTTTTACCGGTCCGGTTACCGGCTCCCATTACTGTAATTTACCGCGGTTTACCGCTAAAAACTGTCCGGTATTTACGATATGGGGTACGTCGACTTGATGATAGTTTAATTGATGAATTTTGTTTAAAAATTTTACCTCATATTCATCATAAAGTCAAATGGTGAAATCTTGAGATTATCATCAATAGAACGAATTCTTCTTGCAACAGATTATCCTGATTTATATGGTATCGGTTTATATAATATGACTATCAGAATGGCTACATATTTCTTTAAAAGTAAGAACGTTCGACGATTAGTTATTTTTCTATTTTGTTTTGTTTTGTTTATTTATTTAGATTCTTATGTGATCAAAATCGCGTTTTCTACAATTAACAACAGCTAAATACAGTGGCAACTTTTTTTCCATATTAGTTCTCGAGCATTGATAGCTGTTTATAGAAACAACTACGTAAGTAAAGTTAGCATCAGATTCGAGTTTTTACTGTCCGGATTCGTCCCTGGACTTGAGTTGATTTTGGTTCAACTTGAGTTATACGCAGAATTTTACGGCGAATCTGATGGTGTAAAGATCAGGGGGGGGGGTCATCGAGCAAAAATCAACACTTGACCCCAAAATACTGGTTTTTCCAAAAATTTCCTGAAAGTTTTTCCTGTCCGGATTCGCTATGTTGCTTAAGTTGGGTCTAAAATTGATTGAGTTAGACTCAGCTCGAAATTCTGCACGAATGATATCAATTTTATATGGGGAGTTATCGGGCAAAAAATTTTTCGACTGGATGAGGGTGAGGATGACCTCTGAGGGGTGGGATTGAGTGAAGTGGAAATTTTTTCGCCGATGACCCCATATAAAATTGATATCATTCGATGCAGAATTTTGAGCTAAGTCTAACTCAACCAATTTCAGACCCAACTCAAGCAACATAGCGAATCCGGACAGGAAAAACTTTCAGAAAATTTTTGGAAAAACCAGTATTTTGGGGTCAAGTGTTGATTTTTGCTCGATGATTTCCCTTGATCTTTATACCATCAGATTCGCCGTAAAATTCTGCATATAACTCAAGTTGAACCAAAATCAACTCAAGTCCAGGGGCGAATCCGGACAGTAAAAACTCGAATCTGGTGCTAGCTTTACTTACGTACATTTTTCACGTTTATCTTTTTGATATTTATTTATCATTATTAAAATTCATTATCTTTAATCTTTTTGAATATAATTGTAATTAAAGAAAAGTGACAACTTACGAAATTTGATTTGTCATTTTTTTCCTCTCGAGTAATATTTTCAAGTTTAAGTTAATATAATCTAATTATTGTTAATCTTATTAAAAGAAAAATAAATTGAATTTAAAAAAAATGATGTATAAAATATCTATTCGAAATAATACTATTGTATTAAAATATTTATATTCAATTCCTTTTTTTAAATAAAAGTCAGATCATTCGATAAAGATCATAATATGATCTTTTCAACAATATTATGTTTTCTATACAATCATATCATATATATTAATATTGTAATCATAGATAATAAGCAATTGATCGATATTTTTAGTTCTAATATTGAAATGTTCATATTTAAGTTAAAAGGGCCATTGAAAGAGATTCTATAAGAGTTTCTTTAGTTCTATTAAGTTCTGCTTATGTTCTTCACATAAATCCGGAAATTTTTTTTTAATCAATTGATAGAATAACGAGGGCTGCGCAAGTACGAGTACAACTTGTACCACGCGGTTCACAGCTAACTATGTACTACCTTGTACCATCTTGCGTCCCTTTGTATCACCTTGTACCATCTTGC